TCTAAAGCGCCATCTGGTTTAAGAAACCTTTTCACAGACTTTTAGTTATTATTTAGGTAGCAGACACATGAAGAATGCCTTTGGCAGAATTCAAAGAAGCCATTTTAATCTACATTAATCTTAATTAATTCCGAGATTATAGTGAGATTAATCTAGATTTAAAATATATATATATCTATGCCCAACACTAATATATATATAAATTTTAAACGAAAATAAAAATGCATGCTGGGTGTGATAGACAAATACAGGCCAATATGATTTATTTTTTCATGTGGTACCAGCATTAATTCAAATCTACTTTAAACCCTAATAACAGCCGTGGTCTATATCATTCACAGCCACCAACTAATGTGAATTACAGTTTTGGATGCAATTGATTTATATATAGAAAACTGTAATAATTACAATTATTTCCAATGCCCTTCATTATGATAGTAAACATTATCTGATGGATAACAGCCAGGGGTGAAAGTAAGCTGGAAAGGTCTGGTACTGCGAGCTAGGAAAAGATTTAGGGGCGGTACACAGTTCCAGGTAGAGCTGCTGGCTGCCATTTTGTGTCATCAATTTCAGTGCACAGTTACCAACTTGGAACTTGGTGAGACGGATATCGAATGTTGAATGTCACACAGGCTCATTCGGGTCTGATGCTTGGTCAACTCTGGGAAACTGTCCTGGGCTGGGCTCGCGCAGAATTACATATTTGTGCTAGCAGCACATTGGACGGCCGACTTTGCCCACGCTACTTAATAAACTCTATACGACTGATAAACACTATATGCCAAGAGCAAAAAAGTGCTTTGGTCTAGCTGTTGGGTTTTTTCTTACTCAGCTCACAAGAGTTGATGCAAAACTTTCTTTAATTTCTACCAAAGGAATCCCTAAATTTTATTAAATATTGTTTTACTTTTTATTACTTAATAAACCCACCAAAGAAAAGGCACCAGCATTGTCTTTGACTATTTCTCTCATTGTTCCTGCTTCCATCTTTTCACATAAGATGTAAATGTTTTCCTGTTGGGTCATAAAAAGGATCATTTTGTGTCCTTTGAATATTTCAACATTTTTGTTAACATATTTCTTAAATGAAAAGGATTTTCGGATAGTTTTTTTTAAATATCAAATACCTACAATGTGATTTGTACAACATACATACACAAATATAGGCCAACAAACATTTTTATGTAGTACCAGCAAGAATTTAAATCTACTTCCACCTCTGATAACAGCCAATGTCTAGAAGCAAAATGAAAGTGTTTGACTGGAAGCAGCAAGTTTTCTACTGAAGGGTTTTTGGTTTCTAGATGGAATGACATTTAAGTTTCCATTAGGTTCTAAAGTTGAGCTTCTTTTCCACACGATAAGGTTGTTATATTTTCCCTCTTAGTTTGTGTCAGTAAGAAATTTCACTTTATTAACTGAGATTTCCCAGAAAGTAGTGGTAAGTAAGGAGAGCTAACCAACAAATGGTCAATAAACTCAGTGCTTGGCTTAATTAAGCATGATTCTAGTTCCAAATTAAAGGAAAACTCCACTCATATTCAGAGTTCATACTTCTGAAAGTACTTTGAATATGAAATTATTACAAACTGTTCAATAAATTAGTTTTTTTGTATTTAAGAGTGATGTCATTTTAATGTGCTTTACTGGAGGCCTCCATGTTGTCTTTACGTACCGCACTTGCACTTAGACTGACTGACACAAAGAAAAATGACCTATTATGTAGGCTTACAGTTCAGAATCAATGTTTATCTAAATAAACAGTTATTAGACACAAATACAACTTATACAATATTTTTTATTTTCATCACCAGTTTGCATAGTAGAAAAGCTTTCTCAAGCAGGTTGTGATGAATTTTGGAAACAGGAGATGAACCCCTGGTCTTACGCGCCACCTGACTTCAGAAACCTGTTCACAGACTTAGTTATTATTCAGGTAGCAGACACATGAATTCAAACAAGCCATTTTAATCTACATTAATCTTGATTCTTTCTGAGATTATGATTAGATTAATCTAGATAATTACCCCATTTACACTACCCTTGAAAAACCGATCCATGCCGAGACCGGTCCGAGCTCAGATCAGTTAACCAGGCTGAGCTCGGTTCTGACAACCGTTTACACATCACGCTATCTTGGTTCCTCGACTCCTCGCCACCAAGTGACGATCTGCGGTATTACTTCCAGTACTGAAGGAGGAAATCAAGCAGTTGGTAGTGGTAATACACCAAAAGTTGTTTGCCAACCGCCATAAAACACAAGAAGAAGAAGACGAAGAAGGAGGGAATCAAGCAAATCAGAATGGCAGCGCCTGTCACATTCAGAAAGTTATGCTTGAATATTAATGCTGTACTTCATGGGTTTGCGGAGGGTCAGGCGAAGACGGCAACCTTTCCTGGATTTAATTGAGAAAGCCAGCTTAACTTAGTTATTCTTCTTCTTCTGTTTTGTGTTGGTTGGCAAGCAACCTCCGGAGGGGCATTTTGCCAACTACTGGAATGGAGTGTGAATCGGGATGTGCAGCCAAACGGAGATGACGCGTTCTGCTCATGCACTCTTGTTATCAGAGAATCGAGCCAGGGAAAAACCGAGCCGATCCCACCTCTGGAACTGGTCTGCAGTTAGCTCGGTTCGGTTGTGTCTAGCTCGGTTCGGTTCAGTTTGCTTTCCATTTACACACGATAAGTTATCTCAGTTACTGAGCTCGGACCGGTCTCTGCACGGTTTTTCAAGGGTAGTGTCAATTAGGGGTGGGTATTCGCAAAGAAGTCATGATTCAATTTGAATCACGATTCACATGCCACGACACGATTCTATCACGATGCATCATGATACTTTAAATATTGCGATGCATTGCGATATTTTCACTGAACACTGTAAAAAAAAAGATACAGCCCTTACCAGTGGCTGACTGGCTGGGTATGATCTGGATAGTGTCTTCAATTGATACATAACTTAAAGCAACTAAATTCATACATAGCTGTATTTATTGAAACAACTTTTGGAGGTGTTGCCATGAAAACAAATACTGGACAGAAATATTACTATTACTGGCGTTGACACGCTGACAAAAATATCTTATGGGGTAAATGAAAGTGTTTGACTGGAAGAAGCAAGTTTTCTACTGAAGGGTTTATGACATTTCATTTTCCATGAGGTTCTGTAGTTCAGCTTTATTTCTACAATGTTCACTTTATTCTTTGAGATTTCCTAGAAAGTAATAATAAAATGTTTTTATGTTAACCAGAACCTACATGAGAAAATATCTGTGACTAAATATGAAGGAATGAGAGGAAGAAGCTCTTTAGTGCAGATGTTGGTGGCTGTTAAAAGAGCCTTTGTGTTTGTGAGCTGCAGCCTCTAAGCTCTCTCCCCACGGATGCGGCGGGCCAGCTGGATGTCTTTGGGCATGATGGTGACCCTCTGGGCGTGGAAGGCACCGGTAGCTGAAGCGCACTTCCGGGCAGCTTCGGTGGCCAGCTGCTTCCTGGGAGCTTCACCTCCGGTGGATTTGCGGGCGGTCTGCTTTGTTCTGGCCATGTTTCTCTGCTGCAGAGGAGTCACCGGTAGTTGAGGCTCCGTTGCTCTTAAACTGGGTCTGAGCGTCAAAGAATGACGCTGCAGCAGAGCTCCGGATCCTGCTCGGTTAGCGGCTCCTCCTGGAGCTCCACGCCGCTTCTTCTTCTTCTTGTTTAATGGCAGATTAAACCTTAACTTTTAGGAGCATACCGCAACCTACTGTACCTACGGGAGTATGTAGCATGGGCCATATCAATGTGATGATTACTTTATGTTTCTATCTATCTATCTATCTATCTATCTATCTATCTATCTATCTATCTATCTATCTATCTATCTATCTATCTATCTATCTATCTATCTATCTATCTATCTATCTATCTACATACACACATATATATAAATACATACACAAATATACATACATCCATATATACATATACCTTTAAATCTTTATAATATATTCCTGTAGTCTTAGGTATTTAATAGCAGCTTTCTGCATTTCCTTTTCCTCCTGTTGTTCCTGCTTATAGCGACGGTTGAGAGGAAAAACTCCCTTTTAGCAGTAAGTATTTTGAGTTTTTTCCCAAGGATGCTGCGTTGTCTAAGGCACACAGAGAACTAGCAACCCCATCCACAAAATAATCAACCTGTGAAGGGGAATAAACTAAAATTGTTCTTTAAAATTTATAACTGCATTATCTGATAATGATCTGCTAAAGTGAAACCTTCTTGGGGGAGGAGAACTCTGTTAAAGTAACCCTGTAGGCTATTAAAAAGTGATCAGAGTGGACAGGGTTGTGAGGAAATAATGTTATTTCTTCATCTTCAATGCAAGTTTCAAAATAGAAGTTTCAAAATATGAAGATAAGAATGTGTCGGACTATTCACATTTTGAATAAAGCCAATAACGTCTAAGATAGCATTAAAGGTTTATATAACAACTGTTTTCTCACCCCTCGTGGGGTGGTATGTGTCATCCTCAAGCTCGGGTCCTCTACCAGAGGCCTGGGAGTTTGAGGGTTCTGCGCAGTATCTTAGCTGTTCCTAGGACTGCGCTCTTCTGGACAGAGACCTCTGATGTTTTACCTGGGATCTGCTGTAGCCACTCTCCCAGTTTGGGGGTCACAGCCCCCAGTGCTCCAATTACCACTGGCACCACTGCTGCTCTTACTTTCCACATCTTTTCTAGCTCCTCCTTCAGCCCTTGGTATTTCTCAAGCTTCTCGTGTTCTTTCTTCTTGATGTTGCTGTCGCTTGGGATTGCCACATCTATCACTACTGCCTTCTTCTGCTGTTTGTCGATCAACACGATGTCTGGTTGGTTAGCCATCACCTGTTTGTCAGTCTGGATCTTGAAGTCCCATAGGATCTTAGCTCGATTGATTGAATGCCTGTTGAAGGGTAGAAGTTGCTTCTTAATGAGTGGGTGGGTGGCCCTGAAAAGGGCCTTTGATTGATGGCTGGAAGCGGAGCAGTTTAACCTCCGAAGCCGTACAGGGTGCAGCCCTGCCTCTTCAGAGCGTACACCACATCCATGGCGGTGACGGTCTTCCTCTTGGCGTGCTCTGTGTAGGTGACGGCATCGCGGATAACGTTCTCCAAGAAGACCTTCAACACACCGCGGGTCTCCTCGTAGATCAGACCGGAGATGCGCTTGACTCCTCCACGGCGAGCCAGGCGGCGGATAGCGGGCTTGGTGATTCCCTGGATGTTATCACGGAGGACTTTACGGTGATGCTTGGCGCCTCCTTTGCCGAGTCCTTTACATCCCTTTCCTCTGCCGCTCATTCTGTCTTTCTGTGTGGATCACAGAGTCAGAAATGCTCAACAGCTGCTGAGTATAAGCTCTTGTGTGTATGCTGTGGACGTAGGAGGAAACATGCTAAGCGCCGCCTCCAACATGGTTCTGACACACTGAGGGTGTTCCTCTCTGAAGAAAAAAAAGGATGAGATTTTAATCCTGTCACTTCTGTTAAAATCAGAAATTTACCAAAGAGATCTATGTCTGATTTAAACAGCATCTAATCATGTTATCTACTGACCCTGAAGAAAAACATCAGAAATCTACATTACACTTCAGAAATACAATGAACAAAGGTTACAGTGTTTTTTCTTTAACATATTGTACAAGAAGGAATCTAAATGGTGTAAAAGATCTGTGTGGGATCGCTGTCCTTAATCAGGGGACGATAGCACTTATAACAGTTGCAAATGTTAACGCTTTCCGGTTCAGCAGTCTCTGTCACAGGATAATAATCTGCAGTGGAGTTTGGGGAAGCTCTCTGGTGAGTCTTGTAGAATGTCAAGCACCATGATACTCAGCGGCACAGTTCGGGCATGTGCGGGACGTACCACCTGGCTTTGAATATCATCAGTTTTATTTTTCACCTGAACTCTGGATGGCCCTAAGAGGCTGGCACTGCATGAAAAGTGAGATTTTCGTCCCCGTAAACTCCCGCAGATCTGCCTGATTTTCGTCAGTTTCCGACAATTTGCAACCCGTGCTTGTCCGCGTTTGTCGTGCCACAAATTGTCGGAAACGTACCGTGACGTATGTGGAGAGCGATCAGCTGTACTAATGGCCCTAATTAGCATATGAATGCAGCAAACCCGCGCGGCTGGCCAAGTCTGGCTTGAATAACCTTCTCAGTATTGGCTGAAACCACTATTCTCAAACAAGTAAAATCGCTCGTGATTGGCAGCAAAACCACACGTGGCCACGCCAGGCTTTAATTTTCTTACTGAGTATTGGACGGAACCACTTCTTTTTAAACAAGTAAAGTCGCTCGTGATTGGTTGGCATATATATATATTTACATATAAATTTACATATATATATATATATTTATTCATATATATATATATATTTATTCATTCATATATTTATTCATTCATATATTTATTCATTCATATGGTGTGTATTTATGTTATCCTACACTACTACACAATTATTATGCTACCATCAAGGAAAAGAGGTTTCTAGAATTTCCTTCTTTAATCTGAGGAACATTGCAAAAATTAGAAATCTCCTGTCCAGGGGTGATGCTGAGAAACTAGTCCATGCATTTGTTACTTCAAGGCTGGACTATTGTAATTCTTTACTATCAGGAAGTCCACAAACTGTAGTTAAAAGCCTTCAGCTGATCCAAAATGCTGCAGCCAGAGTTCTGATGAAAATTAAAAAGAGAGATCATATCTCTCCTATCCTGGCTTCTCTTCATTGGCTTCCTGTTAAATCAAGAATAGAATTTAAAATCCTCCTTCTCACATATAAAGCCTTAAATGGCCAAGCTCCATCTTATATCAGAGATCTGATTGTTCCTTATGTTCCTAACAGAGCACTTCGCTCTCAATCTGCAGGTTTACTAGTGGTTCCTAGAATTTCTAAAAGTAGAATGGGAGGCAGATCTTTTAGTTATCAGGCTCCTCTCCTGTGGAACCAACTACCAGTTTTAGTCCGTGAGGCAGACACTCTGTCTACTTTTAAGACTAGGCTTAAAACTTTCCTTTTTGATAAAGCTTATAGTTAGGGTGGCTCAGGTTATCCTGAGCTCTCTCTCTATATTTATGCTGCTATAGGCTTAGACTTTTTGAGGACATAGGGACCCCCATTTCATCATTCTGCTTCATTCTCTCTCTGTTCTCCTATTCTGCAGAATCTGTTTGTTCAATCTCTAACGTTCTGCTCTCTCTGCTTTTCCTCAGAGTAGCTTTGCCTCGTCTGTTCCTGTTTGGCTGTGACGTCATCCAGGAAAGAAACATCAGCTGTGCTGCTTCCATCAACACCCTTGTTTGTAGATGTTGGAGATCGGCCTGTCTTCAGGTGTGGTCCTGTTTCTCTGGCCGTGGCTGGGTGGATGTGCTCTCTTCATCCTCTGGCATGGGAGCTGCCTTGGAGCTCGTCTGCCTGGCTGTGTGTTTCCTGGACAGGGCCGCCTTTTACAGCTGCTTGTATCTCTGCTTCTGTCTCCTTGAACCCCAGTGGGCCTCAGCAGATGGCCGCTCACACTGAGCCTGGTTCTGCTGGAGGTTTCTTCCTGTTAAAAGGGAGTTTTTCCTCTCCACTGTCGCTACAAGCATGCTTAGTGTGAGGGATTGTATTTGAGTCAATGAGTCAATGCAATCAACTGGTTTTCCTTAGATAGAAAACTTTGTATCAATTTGACTGTATGATCTGGTTGAACTGTAAAGTGCCTTGAGATGACATGTGTTGTGAATTTGGCGCTATATAAATAAACTGAATTGAATTGAATTGAATTGACATGAATGAATTTATACAGGAAATGAAGATTTGCCAGGAAGCTGTTTATGCAAAGAAAGAGCTTTATTGAAACACAACTATATACAACGCGTATCCAAACACATGCGTTTCTAAAAATTAAAACTCCGTGAACGGTCCGTTTGCTTCCTCGGGGTTGGAGGTAACTGGCAGCATTCCCTCCGAGGCAGGTCCAATGTGCAGACGCCTAGTGTGCGTGGCCCTGTACTTCGGCATCGCTTCTAACCGGGACCGCAGCTTAACACAGAGTTCAGTGAGATCCGGCCTACGAAATGGCGGCGACCGTACAATCCATCCAGAGACACCGCCGAGGAAGGCGGACTTCCAGAGTTCCACTTCCTCATCTGCCAGCACACTCTGCCTCGCTTTCAGCAGCTGAAAAAAAAAAACAATGAATCAGCGCACTGCGTATGGACACAACACATCTATTAATGCACCTGAAAAATAGTCACCAAATAAAGTCTTACCCTCTTTCTTCTGGCCCGACTCCGAGCAGATAGCCTCCGCACGCAGCGTGTGGCTGGCTGCGTATATCTGAAGCTCCTGCGTACCGTCTGAAAATACGTCTTATAGGCAGCTGGAAAACAATTAAATGAGAGTGGTATAAATAAAAAATCAAACGCAAGTCACAGTAACAAGGAAGGAGAAAACATTAAAACAAGTCACTTACACACAATGTCGTCTTTATCAACATCGTGCAAATCGGGACTTGCCGAGATGGGAGGTCTGTGAAAACAAAATGTAAAAGCTATGATCGGTATCCATCCGTATCCATTACCTTTTACCACAGAATGAAAGCATATTCTTTAAATCTTACCCTTGCTCCGGTTCATAGCGCCTGCAATTAGTCTCCGAGTTGTGAAGACGGCGTACTGCTTCCTGTAAATCACAAAAAATACACTTTAATAAAGCTTGTTCTAGCAAGGCTACTATTAGCCGCTATTAGCCGGTAGCTTAGGCTAGGCTGCTTTTAGCTTAGCAGGCAGTAATCGAACATATATTTACCGCTAGCATCTCTTCTTTGAGTTCGTCTTGTTCGATGCAGAGTCGCCATCGCGTCCAAGAGGAGTTTTACCCCGAAATCCAGAAGCTCCAGACCGCTGCACAAAGCAAAGCATACATCCTCCACTGTGGCTGCACACCGCCGTTCTGAGTTTCTTGGAGATCGTAGGGAGCATGCGCGAGATGAACCAGGGTGTCCGCGGATCAATAAAAATAATTAAAAAATCATTCATTTTTTTTTTTTTAATCAAGGCCTTAATTGGCACTAAAATTATTTAAATATGTTTATCGAAGTATTTATAATTCTTTAATAAAAAATGCTTATAAAAACAATTTCGTCAGATATATTATATCGCTCCAGGCGGAGAAAAAGCTAGAGGATATATATATACGTATATATGTGTGTGTGTGTGTTTACATACATACAGGAGTCATGGAACTCTGCTTGCAGCTCCTTCATATTTCATGTACACTAATAACTTGTGTACATGGTTCTTGATGATGGCATTAAAATCATTTCAAATAGCATTAAAATAGCATTAAATTAGAGTCACTCATTCCTGTATGAACCCTGTGAGTGCTTAATTTAATATGACATATTAAAAAAATCCCACCATCATCCAGTATATGTTCAGTTTCTGCCCAAATATATATGTAGATTTTTGTAACGGGGATAAGGATAATTCAAAACTGCTTTTTTTTTAATGAACTTGTTCACTACTTCCAAACTCAGCATCTCTTTTCATTCCTGTAATAAGAAGTTTCTTTTGAATGGATTTGATTAAAGTTTAAGTCCCTCGGTATAAAATAAATATTTTGATGGAGATGAGAAATCTGCTTCCTCGTTGGTGAATAACCAATAGTTTGGATCCAATCATTTAAATAAACGGTGTTAGTTTTTTATATATATATATATATATATATATATATATATATATATATATATATATATATATATATATATATATATATATATATATATATATATATATATATATATATATATATATATATATATATATATATATATATAAGAATTGTGCTATAATTTCTAGTCACCGATCTGTTGCTGCTATATTTTAATTTGACGAACCGGAATTTGTCGATGTTCTTTTTCCTGTTTGGTGCGATTGCAATTGCGGATCTTGACCTGGCCGGACCTTATGACCACAGTGTACCAATTTTCTCATGGCTACTTCCAACAGGATAATGCGCCATGTTATAAAGTAAATCATCTCAGACTCATTTCTTGAAACTTTTCCACTTAAGTAATTGTGAATTGAGCATATTGACAGACAACATTTTATTTTTTATCTTAAATGCAATTTTTTTTTTATAATTACTGCTCTAAATGTATTGCTCTGTCAGCTAAAGATCTGTTTTGGTCTCTATACTTTAATTAAATAAATCAATTCAAGCTAAAATGGAAGAGGCTATACTAAGCCTGATCTCTTTGTATCAGAGAATTTCTTACCCAGAAAGATGTCACTTGGGGTAAAACCCCCCCTGCAACCCT